TTGTGGAGGGTCAAGGAAAGGTTTACATACGGAGGGAAAATTTATTGGTTGCCAGGGTTGGTAGGGGAGGGGAAGGAACCCTGCAAAAAAGAAAAAATGCATTGACTCATGTCACTTTGTTGTTGTTGTTGTTGTTATGTGCCGTCGAGTCGGACCATAGCAATCCCTCCTTGGGCTTCTGAGGCAGTATCACTATGGAAGTAGATTGCCCCATCTTCCTTCTGAGGAGCAGCTGATAGGCTTGAACCACCAGCCTTCTGATTAGCAGTCAAGTGCGTTAGGTACTACACTACCAGAGCTCCCTCATGTCACTTTAGTTTTGTGTATTTCATTGTACATAAATTATATTTCAATAAAATGCATTTAAAAAGACTTTTATGTATTTTATTGTGCCAATTGAGTCTGGTGTCCCCCAGTACTATGGTCCTGAGTTGGTAGATCCATTGGATCTCTCTTCCACAGTGTCTGGGTGTCTGTGAGGGATTACTCTATGTCTGTCTTCTGTTGTTTCTATAAGGATTGCAGGTATTTTGTATCACTGGTATCTGTGCAAGATTAGCCTCTGCTGAATCTATCCTTGGTCTAGAGTAGACTTCTGTTCACTGACCCCATCTGATCTTCTCAGATGTTTATGTGTTTATCTGTAGCCTGGTGTTTGGTGTTAATGGTAATTCATTACTGTGAATATACTGGTTAGTATTAGTATCTGTCATCTATCTCTTATGTGCACAATTTGGTGCCCTCCCTTTTCCTAATGTTATCATGGTAGTCACAGACTCTTTCTATATATCCCTCCCCTTACCCATGTCAGTGTCCGAAATTACCCTCCCCACTTCTCTCCCTACCCTGGTAACCTACAAAGTGAGTTCCCTTTCTTAAGCAAACCCTTCTTTGTCTTTTTTACAGTAATGGGCTCATACAGTATTTGTCCTTCTGCGATTGACTTATTTCACTCAGCATAATGTCCTCCAGCCTCATCCACGTTGTGAGATGATTCACGTATCCTTCATTGTTCTTTAATATTATTCCGTTGTGTGATTGTACCATAATTTGGTTATCCATTCATCAGTTGATGGGCATTTAGGTTGCTTCCATCTTTTCGTTATAGCAAATTGTGCTGCGATGAACATACGTGTGCATATGTTTGTTCATGTCCTGCCTCTCACCTCTTTAGGATATATTCCTAGTAATGGAATTGCTGAGTCAAATGGTATTTCTATTTTCAGTTTTTTAAGGAAATGCTATACTGTATGTCACTCCTTGGAAGGAAGGTTGGGTGATCTACTTCTGTAGTGATACCACCTCAGAAACCCAAGGAGAGGTCGCTATGAGTTGAGGCCGACTGGAGGGCACACAACAACAACAATGCCACAGTGGTTGTACCATTTTACAATCCCACCAGCACTGCACAAGATTTCCAATCTCTCTGCAATCTCGCCACCATTTGTTATTTTCTGTCCTGTTGAACTTTGCTATTATTGCTGGAGTGAGATGATATCTCTTCGTTGTTTTGATTTGCATCTCTCTAGTGACTAATGAGGAGCTCTGGTAGCATAGTGCCTAAGGCACTTGACTGCTAACCAGAAGGCTGGTGGTTCAAACCCACCAGCCACTCCTTGGAAGGAAGGTTGGGCAATCTACTTCCATAGTGATACTGCCTTGGAAACCCAAGGAGGGTTTGCCATGAGTCGGATATGGCTTGACAGCAGTGGGTTAATGACTAATGAGGGAGCTCTGGTAGCATAGTGCCTAAGGCACTTAACTGCTAACTAGAAGGCTGGCAGTTCAGACTCACCAGCCACTCTTCGGAAGGAAGGTTGGGCAATCTACTTCTGTAGTGATACTGCCTCGGAAATCCAAGGAGGGGTTGCTATGAGTTGGGTCCAACTCAAGGGCACATAACAACAACAACTACAATGACTAATGATTGTGAGCAATTCCTCATGTTTGTTGGCCACCAGCATATCGTTTTTAGTGAAGTGTCTGTTCAAGTCTTCTGCCCCTTTTTGAATTTGGTTGTTTGTCTTTTTGGTGGTGAGGTGTTGAAGTTTTCTATAGATTTTGGAGATAAGTCCTTTGTCAGATATGTCATAGGCAAATATTTTCTCCCAATCTGTAGGTTATATTTTTACCCTTTTGACGAAGTCTTTCAATGTGCATAAGAATTTTATCTTTAAAAGGTCCCAGTCATCTAGCTTATCTTCTACTTCCTGTGCATTCTGGGTTATGTTTGATAGTCTATTTATGCCATAAATTAGGGCTCCTAGATTTGCCTCTACTTTATCTTTGTTGAATTTTACGGTTTGGGGTTTTAAATTTAAGTCTTTGATCCAGCTTGAGTTTGTTTTTGTGTATGGGGTGACATATGGGTCCTGTTTCATTTTTCTGCAAGTACATATCCAGTTTTGCCAGCACCATTTGTTAAAGAGACTGTATCTTCCCCATTTAATGGGTTTTGGACCTTTGTCAAATATCAGGTGTCCATAGATGGATGGGTTTATTTCTGAACTTTCAGTTCTGTTCCATCGATCTATCTGTCTATCATTTTACCAATACCATGCTGTTTTGACTACTGTGGCTTTGTTCTTCTTCTTCAGAAGTGCTGTGCTTATCTGAGGTCTCTTTCCTTTCCGTATGAAATTAGTAATTGGTTTTTCCATGTCCTTAAAAAATGTTGGTATCTGGATCGGAATTGCATTAAATGTGTAGATTGCTTTAGGTAGTATTGACATTTTCACAATATTCAGTCTACCTATCCATGAACAAGGTAGGTTCCTTCATTTACGTAGAGCCCTTGTTGTCTCTTGTAGTAGTGTTTTATACTTTTCTTTGTATAAGTCTTTTGTGTTTCTGGTAAAGTTTATTCCTAGATATTTTATCTTTTCAGTAGCTATTGTAAATGATATTGTTTCCCTTATTTCTTTATCAAAGGTCTCTTTGTTGGTGTAGAGCAATCCAACTAATTTTTTGTATGTTGACCTTGTATCCTGCCACTTTGCTGAACCTATTAGTTCCAGTATTTTTTTTTTTTTTTTTGGTTGAGTCTCTTAGGTTTTCTCTGAACAGGACCATATCATCCGCAAATAGAGATAGGTTTAGTTTCTCTTTGCCAATTTGTATGCCTTTTATTTCTCTTTCTTGCCTTATTGCCCTGGCCAGAACTTCCAATTCAATGTTAAATAGAAGTGGAGATACAGGGTATACCTGTCTGGTTCCCATTAATAAGGGAATTGCCTTGAGTCTTTCTCCATTAATAATGATGTTGGCCATTGGCTTTGCATATATATCTTTTATTATGTTGAGGAATTTCCTTTTTATCCCTATTTTGCTGAAAGTTCAGAACAAGAACAGGTGTTAGATTTTATCAAATGCCTTTTCTTCATCAATTGATATAACCATATGGTTGTTTTGTTTTGTTTATGTGGTGGATTACATTGATTGTTTTTCTGATGTTGAACCACCTTGCATACCTGGTATGAATCCCACTTGATCAGGATGTATTATTTTTTATTTTTTTAAATTAAACAGGTAAAACTTTACTTTTCATAATAATTTTCAACAAATAAAAATGCAACAAATACCATGTTTGTTATCACAATGCCTACTCTACACATTTTACAGTGATATCTATTTATACAC